TAAATATAATCCAATAATAATTAATATAAATCTTATCCAATAAGATTGTTCGTTAAATGTCATATCATGACAATATATACAAATTTCTTTATAAAGTGCTTTGATTTTAGAATATAAAGATGATATTATAAAAACTTCTCTATAGTCACTATTTATTAACCAATTATTTAATTTAATTTTAATTTTGTTACTGTTTTGATTGACTTTCAAAATACTAAAAGATATTTATAAAGATTAAAAGAATATTCAAAGAGAACTTTCAGTGTCTTAATGATAATTCAAAGTATCAATTATACTTTATAATTATTAGACTGAATGTGAATAAGTACTAAAAGTACTAATAACAAAATCACTTAAAGATTGGTAACAGTTGTGTTCTTTTAATATAATAATCTGGACTGCTAAAAAAAATTCTCAAAATCTCAAAGTCAAAGTTAGAGATTATAATATTCATATTATTAGCAATATGAGATCGAAGGTAAATAATATATTATTAGCAATACAATATCGAAGATAAGTTTATGAGCAATGTATTATTAGCAATACAATCTCAAAGACAGATTTATAAATTATAATAATAATTCCTTTATTTAATATAGGTTTCATCTATTAAAATAAAACCCCAAAATACATGTGCAAAAAGTAAACACGATGCGATTATATATGCGAAATCGATATATAATAAAACAAAAATAAACTACAGGAATATAAAGATTAATTTTTTTCGGTTTCGGATTGATAATTATACGTTATTAAGCAATAAGGACATAGTAATTGCACTATAATAACTTTTATATACCCGATAATGTATTTAAAATGTATAACCGCATATCGTATCAAATTAGAATAAAAAATTATGGCAGGCGATCTTGTATTTACGTACATGAATTATCAATATAGTTTTATTTTTCTGATGATATACTAATCTTACATCCCACACCACACACGCATACAAAAAGTTAAAAAACCATAAGCCCGGATTGTGGGCGAAACTTTATCTTGCAATCCTGTGTTTAATATCTACAAATTATTCATCAACACAATAAACCTTCCTGCTAATTAGACGATGCAAGCCTACTCTCAAAACAATAAACATACAGCTCAACTCAGCATCGTTTCGTTTTTTTTAACGGATCTAGATACTCGTTGCTTTTCTTTTTAATCTTCCATTCCAAAGCTTCACGAACTGTCTTTTGATTTGGCCGGTAATGATCACTAATTTCAAGGTTTAAAATTTCATCCTCTGATTTTGCCATCAATGATCGTAACACTTGAGTTGCTTCCTGCCAGCTACCTCGAGCCCTGTCCAATTTAATGCATTCCATCTTAATGTTATCAAATTCGATCGCTATCCTTCTTCCGGTACTTGTCTTCACTAAATCAATTGCTTACCATAACTATGAGGATACACCTGAAACTCTGGTTCAATGTCCGCACGGAGAGTGAGAATTAAAGTATCCAAAAACGCCTGCTTTAAAGCCTCTTCATTTGAGTGTTTAACACTATTGTCCCTCAATGGCTTGAGTAAAGCTTGCTCTACAAATCGGCAGAGTGGTTCAATGTTGTTTTCCCCCTCCAAAATCTGCAAACATTTCCGTACAGGCATTAAATCCTCCTCTTTCCAATCATAAATCTTAAGTGCCTCCGCAATAAACTCTCTCAGAAACACGATTTGGGATTTGAAAATTGTGTTGTAATGAGTTTGGTTGATATGAGAGCACCAGTATAAAACAAGAATGATAATAACGGGATGCGATCGGTGGCAAGTTCACGAATGTTTATAAGTCGAAATCGTTGTTCTATACCATTTTTGGATTCGAGAGGACGTCGATTGAGTGCTTCGGTAAGAATGGATTTGCCAAGGGGATTGATGATCAAGTTTAATGTTGTTTGTGAGGACAGTGTGTGCGGATCGGAAGGGAAACGAAGAAGCTTTTTTATGATAATTGAAGTGTCATCACTATAGTCTATATATTTCATTCGTCCAATAAACATCTGAATACAGTACAGAATACAAGCAGTATTGAAAACGCCTTCAGGTTGATCAGGGTTAAAAAAATACCCGCCAATTTCCTTCTTTAACCATTTTATTATCCCCTCCTTAACATCAAATAGAAAACCATTTCCAAAAGCATTGTCCAAGAGAAGTTCAACATCTGATTTCTTGAATCCATACAAATCCCAAAATTCTTCTCTTAATGCCAGATCTGCTGAAATATTAAAACCTGAGGTGAATTCAGCCATAACAATGGGGGTTACGCCAGTTTGGAAAACACAGGCAATGCCTTTATCACAAGCAGTCTTCAAATGACTGTAGAATTGTTTGAACGAACTTTCAATTAATTCGATTTTGCTTTTAATGGAGACTTTTTCTTCGTTGTGATGATTGGTGAGATCTTGAAGGATGGTTTCATTTCTGAGAGCTTCGTTCATACTAGCGTCATATTCATCAATAAAAACATAGAGCTGAATATGTAAATGAATATTAGCTCGGTACTATTATTATTATTTTTTTGAAGAGGTGATAATTGAATAAACAGAAAAATACTTTGTGACCATTTGATTGCACCGCTTTTAGTAACCTCAAGAAATTTGCCAAAGCATCTGCATTTTCATCAATAACGTCCCAACTCTTGTTGATATCGGTCCATAAACCATGACATATGTATATTCAAATTTGTGTGAAAGTTCGCATTAAAGATGTCATATGTTTCGTTAGTGCGAAGTCCAGAAAAATCGAGTTCGAGAATGAGAAATGATGTTGCTAATGATGTTGGTTTTTTTCCGATGTATAAATCACCGAAGATTTGTTCTCTGTTCTTTATGTCGTAATAAGATGACAAAGTGGAGAGGAATAATGTTTTTCCAAAGCGACGAGGACATAGAGAAAGGATGGCACGAACATTAAGATCCTCTATTTTAGAGATGAAATGAGTCTTGTCTAAATAATAACCTCCACCTTTTCTCAGATCAATAAACGATCCTGTTGAAAGTATTTTGAGAGGTTTTATAGACGATTTATCTGACACTTCTTCGAGTTTTATTAGGTCAGCCTCGATAAGTGATGCCTTAGATCCATAAAATTTCAATAGACAGAAACATAAGATTTAGTAAGGGCCTTTAATCACAAACTACAAATCCTCAGTAGCCACTTTGTTCTTACACAACTTTAAAAATACAAGGTTTTAAAATACGCTAAGAATAAAAAATGTTAACCATACTTCTGTCGGCTCTGGTATCTTTGCTGGTTCATCCTTCTTGAGCCTTTTCGACGGTGGTTTGAATTCGTCCTGAATCTCTTCACCCACATTTTTCCCTACAACTTGATAAATATCTAAAGCTTTTGATCGAAAAGTTCTTTTTACGCGATCCTACAGTGATAGTCTTAGTCATGAACTTTTGAATTATATAATTTGTGCGTGAAAAGATTTTCACTTGCCTTTTTGCGCTCATCTATAACATCCTCCCAGTACAGACGAACATCATGTTGGAAATAATAGATTGAAAATAATAATAATACAACAATAATAATACAATAACGAGAAGCTTTATAACATCTTAACCAAAACAAAATAGATCATATCGCAAATAGTGAGGACTAGGAAAACTTCCCACAATCCGGATTCAGGTAACACCTGTCAGGAGTTGTCCTTCACTATCACTTGGGCTAGGAAACTACCTATACTCCGGAGTCAGGTAACATCTGTCAGGAGGTACCCTTTGATCTCAATTAAATCGAACATACTTACTTTCTCTTCCACGACAGCTGTTGATACCGGACCCAGCTCTTCCGATGCTTGCACAAATCGTTTAAACCACGTGCCATTTAGTCCTGTCCAATTTTCTGTAAATGGTGGCAATTCGATGATGATAGTGCGGTTTAGAGTCAAAAATTCCATGTACGACCAAAAATTGGACTCACGCCCTTTCAAATATGTTATTAGGGCTACAAATAACAAAACATGATTAATGCCTTAGCTTTTCTCTGTTTGCCATTAATACACTTGCCTGCACGACCAGGATATATTTCATAGGATTGTTGTTTGTTAGGATTAGACATTGTATAGTTAATTAAAATGTTTCCCAACCTTTATTCAGTAAAAGAGAAGTAGAGAAAGAGGAATAGAATATTATCACGTGAAGTTTTCCACATGATCTGGATCCGGATCGAATTCAAAATCACATGATACTAACCGGCTTTAGTGAATCCGTAAATATAGCTTGGAGTATATACTAATTAAAAACGTCGAGAAGACAATTTTCCGAGATCAACAAAACCTGGCTGATGTGCACCAAAACATAAATACGAAGTATCAATTTCGTCCAATTAGCGATGGGATACCTGCGTCCAATCAGAACTTAGTAAATCCAAAAAATAAATGAAACAGGAAAAGAGTAAGTTTCTTGATTAGTCATCATTACGGAGGTCAACGAGTTTCAGACCGTAGTCTTCTATTTGTATTTTACATTTTAAAAAAAGTAAATTATTTTCACAATTTCCCTGAAGTTCTTAATTCCCTTAATTAGTCAAAATGATGGATCCTCCAGCTGGAACAAACCCTGATTCACCACTTCCACCAGCTTCCTCGCAACACGAAGTGGCAACCTCAAGTTCAAACAATAACGCTTATAATACACGCAAAGACCGCTCACTCTCACCAAGGACTGCATATCGTCGTTCTTCGTACTCACCTCGTCGTAGAAGTCCGTCTCCTCCGCCTGCTAGAGGAGGAGGCGGAGGCGGCTACAGGGGTAGCCGGGAAGATAGGTATAGAGAAGACAGATATCGGGATGAAAAGTATGATCGTGGATATAGTCGTGGTGGCGGCGGCGGCGGTGGCGGCGGCGGTAGTGGAGGAGGAGGTGGTGGTGGGTATAAAGATGATGGTAGAGGTTACCGTGACCATTTCTATGGTGAAAGAAGAGGCCCTCCGAGAAGAAGTAAACCTGTTGAACGGTTAGTAATAGAAGGAATTTCTTTATTATTATTATAATTGTAATAATAAATTTATTTAAAATTTCTTTGTTATTTCTATTGCTGTGTTTTATTCTAGTGGCTCTGATAAAGATAGACGTGATTCAACTACCTTGTACGTGGGAAATCTTCCATATGCTTTTCGTGAACAGGATGTTGCCGATATGTTTGAAAGATACGGACGTCTCAGAAAAGTTACTGTTCAACTTGATCATTACACTGGTAGAAACAAAGGGTAAGAAAAATATTTAGTCACCAATTCTATGGGATTTTTTGCTTTGATCATTTAATTATTAATTTAAAAAAAATTCGCCGTATCTTCTGGTTCATAGTTTTGCTTTTGTCGAATTTGAAGACCGACGAGATGCCGAAGATGCATATGATAAATATAATGGATTTAGCGTGGAAGGACGTCGATTGAAATTAGACTGGTATTTATTTGTCTATTCGTCTAAGATGGTCTGTCTACAAAAAATTAATAATAATAAAAATAGGGATATTGGATTAACCAAAAAAGATCAACATCGTCGTGAAAAACATACTAATTTTGCTGATTATGGGTAAATATGGCATTGTCTATACGAAGATTCAATATTTATTTGTTACAATACTTTTGATATTGAATTAATTGATTGTTTCTGTTTCCTGTCCTTTATTGTCGTGATAATAGACGCGCATCCGATACTTGTGAGTGGAAACTGCAAAAAAATGTTTTTCATTGACTTCGTCTATCTAATCATAATATAAATACATTATTCTTGTTTGTATAGACGGACGTGGTGCATCACCACCTCCTATGCGTGGTTTCAGCCCCAACTACAGAACAGGTGGACGCTCTCCAAGTCCATATCGTCGATAAATCTTCGTTCTCATCTCTCGACACCGACGGAAAAAGATTATGTTGATTCACATGCATATTTTTTCTCTTTTCTATCATTTAATCTCTTTGTTTTGGTTGGATTCTTCTCATATTTGGAACCATGGAATAATTTTTTGTGCATTATTAATCTGGATAAAAAATATTATTATATTTAATATGGGTATTTAGGTGTACATACATATATACATACATACATTCATTCATTCATTCATACACACACACACACAGAGATGACTTGCACACACACACACACGCACACACACATGCACACTTTATCCATTCGGACAACCCTCTAATGCGAGCTGTGGAGTGTTGATTGGATGATATAGACTATATCAGAAGATCAAGCGGAAGAAGCAAAACTCGCACACAACACACTACTACTATTATTATTACTTTTACTATTATTATTACTCTGTCACTCTACTATCAAGAAGATCAAGTATGAGAGAAAATTGATCCATGTAATTTTTATAGAAACAGCTAGTGTTGAAGAATGTGGAAAAAACGTGGAACAAATCACTACTTGATTGATTGATTTGATTGATTGATTGATATAAAAACAACCAACGGTTGATGTGGATATTCTTGAATGAATGAATGAATTTGATATTGCTGATATTGTTGATTTTGTTGACTTACCGAAGGCCGATTTTATTATATAATTGTAAATGCTGAAATGTTGAAATGTTGAAAATCTTATGGAAAAGATTCAAGTATGACGATGATACAGGCGGATTCACGTCTACACTATTTGTGGATGTGAGAGATTATGATTAGTCCATTCTTGAGTGTTGGAAATCAAAGGAGGTATATACGAGAAGAGAGAAAAGGAACTTTACCGAAGAGTGAGTGATGTAAAAGGTCTGTTATAATAATAATTATTTATTTTCACTACTTTTGCAATCTAACTCTCTTCTCAAGGTAAGCGGTAAAAAAGATAAATAGGGCCTTCTCTTCATACGTGCAGATTAATTTCGTATTTTATTTTTTATTTATATATTTTTAATTATAAATAATTTATCCGTGTTAATTTTGAATGGTAAAAAATTATACATATTAACAAAATTTGGAAATAGAATTAATATCCTGACCATATATTTCTAATACTGGTGTTATTATTGGTGACTGAACATAATGTCAAGATTGTATACTACCTATTACTATTGACTAATGAAAGATTTACGTTCTATCTCTGCTGCGCTCGATTATCTCTTATTCCTTCATTCATTGATTCTTTATAGTAATGATAATATCCAGAATTTACAGTAAATGTTGATATTTTTTGTGAATCGATGGTATCTGGATCTGGATTAGCAAACATGTAAGAAATATAAATATTAAAAAAAAGAAAATGCAAAAAACCAGAAATTTACCGCATTCTTTAAACTCGCGTGGTTTGGAAAACAACGAGACTTTCTGAGGCTTCAAAATGCACCGTTCAGATATAATTCTTCTTTGGAGTAGCTCTTCCAGGCAATCTTCAATTTCACATCTTGACATGATTAAGCGAAGTTTTCGCTGAATATTGGACTTTTACGCGACGAAAAAATATTTGCATTAATTCAAGATGTGAGAACTGCCTTCGCGTAATATTTCTCAAATGTGCGTGTTTACCTTATAGATGCCTGGTTTCTGTAAAATCACTCCTATCACGGCTTCAAGACATCCACGAAATACTGTTTCAATAATTGATCCGTTGATATCATACCACATACGCGGTGGTGCGAATTCTTTTGGATCTGCATAAGGTGGAGATGATGATGATTGTTTCCGTGTTTTATTTTTGGATGAAAGCTGTTGTGAGATGTTACCAATTTGAATCATCCAGTTTGTCGCGTAACAACTGCAAATATAACGCGTCATACTATAGCCAACTTTTCGTATCAATTTGGGCTCATTATATTCCAGCATATTTAAATAGTGTCTGAGTGATGTATCAGAAATTACAACCGAGTTATTATGCAAAATTTCCTTTTAAAAGAAAAATTTAGTAAAGATAGGGCACAAAAAATGATTAATGCAGAAAAAATAACAATAATGCTTACTTTCAATGATAGAAGTGTGACTCCCAAATCCTTAAATTTAGAAATTACATGGAAAATCGCATTTAAGCAACTTTTACTCGTGCCATCTTTTTGCGCTGCAACAAATTCTGCAAACAACTTTTGATTTTTTTCCTCATCGAGGAAATTAGGGTTACCATCATCATCAGTGTCAACGCGCCTGACACGTTTTGAGTGGTTTTCATTTGGCAAATCTTCAATGAATTTTCTTTTTTTGTTCGTCTGGGTATCACGATTGGCCATTTGTCTTGTTCCGGATAAATTTGGATCATTGCTATTTCCTGCTAACGATGCGCTTGATTCTTGCGTAATTTCCATGGCATTATTTTCTGATGACGGTTCTTGACCTCCAACTGGTTTTATTATTACATTAAAGTTCAACCTTTCAAGGTCTATCAATCATTAAGGTTTAAAATTTTAGTATTCATGTTAATCTTATTGGCGCTTATTGTAAAGAATTATTAATATAAATTTACTAGCATTCCGGCTTTTACGATTCAGGACAACAGATTCGTTGACAAAAGGTGGCAATGTTGCTTCGGATAAGGAAAGCTACTTATAATAGAAGGTTTAAGAAAAAAATCAATTGTACATAGACAAATTTTTAGTATTTAAGGAAATAGAGGAACTTACCTTTTTGTGGACAATCATATCCAACAGACAAGCCATTGTTCCGCTATCAGAAAAAGCTGAAAATTCATGTTCTTCTTTGCAAGAATTGCTGTATGCAGCTGCTTGTGTAAATAGTCGATCAGGCAAACCTCCGCGCATAACAGAAAGGAACCTAAGAATAAAAGGAATTAGTAATACAATATTATTAAACGATTTGATACACTAAAAAAATTCACCTATCAGAGACATGAAAATTCCTGCCAGGTATTCTTCTAGAATGACTTCCTTTCATCTTTACTATCGCACCCATTTGCTTATACTTTTCGAGAGCTTCAGTGACGGTTTCTTCAGGATATCGATTAAGAATGGTAAAAGCATGCGCGGGATCATATTGATCGTCAGGGGTCATAAGAATCATCTAACAATAAATTCGCGTCAAAAATCATATTGTTAGATGAAATGTAATCTAATAGAAAAAAGTTTACCTTTGCCACCGCCTCTATCAAGTCGAATTTTATCTTAGATTTTTCATAAACGATCGGATGTTCATAAAAACACTCTCTATGATCGAGGCGACATGTAAACGAATATGAATATAATAATTTCATTCTTGCCCGAAGTGACATTCCTGAAAGTTGTTCTTCAAAGAAATAATCCTTTTCTCGATTCTGAGAAGAATATGTCACATCGAATAACTTGCGAAATTGTTGGATATCGCGTGGCAGCGGAATTACAGTAATCGTATCTCGAATACTGAATTATAAAATATTATAAAAATAGTTTTACAAAAAATATTCGTAAAAAAATTAAAATACTTACCTTGTAGTATTTGCCAATTCCTTCATGAAATATTCAACCTGAGAAGGTAAATCAAAGTTGTGCATATTCACATCATCTTTATCGATTATTTCTCCCTTTCGTATGCCTTCTTTATATATTATTTTCCATCTTGCCATAAGATTATTGATGAGATCTTGCTTTGCGGCATTCTTAAGCAATACGTTAATACGACGACGACACATCTCGTTCGACCTTTCGGGCAAAACTATTGTTGCAGCAGCCCAGAAAAATCTTGACTTTAGAGAACGAATTCGCAGTATGACATAAGCATGAATTAAAATTTCATCCTCTTTTGGTGTCCAATTTGGTCGATTTCGTATCATAGCAGTCTCATATTGTGTTTGGTATCTTTCTTCTTTTGCGGAAGGGGATAAATTAATATTCAATTTAATGATAATAAAAGTATCAAAATTTGTGCATGGAAAATGAAATACCTTCATCTGGAATGATGGGTAAATTCTCTTCATCTATCACGCCATACAGCATTTCCTTTTCTTTTTGCTGTGCTTTTGCCCTTTCACTTTTGCGACCACCTCTCCTTATTCTATTTGGATTTGCTTCTGCTTTTTTCCTAAAATACGGTGCACCTTTGCCAGTAGCAACAACACCTATCGATTTGATAGCCACTTTACGACGCGATTCCTTTTCCATTCGTAAATTTTTTCGTTCGATCTTATTCTGATTTTTACTTTCGTAAGCTTCTTCGACTCGTTTGAAGTACATTCTTACTCTTTGCAAGGGCAAATTAATATTATTCGAAATTTGACGACATTGTAAATCATCCTCTAAGGGAGTCTTGCCTTTTTTGCGATCAACATAAGATTCGAGAGTTTTTCTTTGAGCGGCAGTTAGAGGATAAGTTACGAGCCAATTCCGTGGATTATTAATACTACAAAGTGGATCTATTTTGTCATTGCGAGAAGATATATTTTTCTTCTTTTTGTCAACTTTATTCTTGCTGGGAGACATTGATGTGGATTCCAGTTGACTTTCTTCGCCACTCGAATGATTCGCTTCATCATCACTTTGTGCCATTTCATTTCTATCATTTTTACCGGAAGCTTGTTGTTGTGCGACAAATTGTAATTCACTCCAATATCTCTTCACATCATCCATGGATTCAATGACATATTCTCGAAGTATTTTTCTTTCAGGTGCAGAAATAGAATAGTCTAGCATGGGGACGTGAATGGATAATTGATATGCTGGATGGAGTACATGAAATCGAGATTTATGTGGGGAGGAAGTCGATCCTGATGTATTATTACTTCCTTCGCTATAATTGTCTTTGTATGCATCATTCGAGGAATCAAAATAGGAATTTCCTTCCTCGTCAAACTCTCGGGATATCGGCTTGAGGATATCCAGAGCAACAAGTATGTCAATCAACCTCTTAAGATTTTGCCGGAATTTATAGTTACCCGAAAAAATGCTAGTACGGATCTCAACCGGTAAGACTATTATATTGACTGACATATCTTTACCCGATTGAATATAATCGCTGAGTTGTTGACTAGCGATTGTCTGTCCAATAAGTTTTAGATATAAATCCAATGGGAGATCACGAAGTAACATTACAGTTTGGAATATTCGTTTTTCTTTGAGGATTCTTTTATCGTCTGCAGAAGCTTTTTCAATCTTGGTAAAAAGGAATTGATGCAGTAATTTAGCGCGAATCATTTTTGCATTTATCCAGCCGTAATCTTGTGCAGTGTTAAGCCACCAAAATTCATGCTCTTGATTCGCTTCAGTCAGTTCATCATTTATTGTGATAGCGCATTGTTGTCCATTGGAAGAAAGTTTATTACTTGATGATGGCGTTGACATCTCCTCGGTAGACTCGAATAAAGTTTCCATTGCTACCACTCGTTTTTTCATTTCTTCAAAAGTTTCAATTTCGACTTCCTCCTCTATTTTGAGAGGTTTAAATACTCCACCGTGCATAATAGTTTTATCGTCCATCGTATGAATGTATTGCTTCACCTGTGGACTGGACGGTGTCAATGATGGGTGTAAAAAGAGAAGCTTTGTATTATTGCTGCCATTTAACATAAGGGATGCTACGGTGTATTGCCTGAGCAATCCTTTTTGTTCCATTATGGAAGCGGTTCGAATAAGAGTTTTCTTGTCGATTGTATGGGGAAGAGAAGTTGCATTGAGTTCTTTAGCTTCTACATCTTGATATTGTTTAATTAGGATATGATTACATTCCAAAATTTTGTGCTCTTCCAAAAGTTGCGATATAATCCTTTCACGCCGGTGAGCATTGATTGACTGGACTAAATTTGAACTCTGAGTCTGTTTCTTCTTTTTCTTTATTGCCTCGCCTGTGTTTACTAAAGTTTGTATTTCTTGTCGTGAATTCTCAATTGTCTCCAAGGAGGGCAAAGAAACAACACCATCTTGACCCTTTTGGCTTGAAAGCTCGCTTGACTCATTTTTGTGTCTCTTTCTTGAAGATTCGACGGTGGGATCGGAAGATTCGATAATGGGATCAGAAGATTCGATGATGAGATCAGAAGTGATTATTGAGGTTTGTGTTTCTTGTGAATTCTCAATTGTCTCTAAGGAGGATGGGGAAATAACATTGTCTTGACTCTTTGAACTTGAAGGTTTGCTTGACTCGTTTTTGCGAGGACGGCCTCTCTTTCTTTTAGGTGGAGTAGTAGTCTCTTTCGGAGGATCAGATGATTCAATGACGGGTTCAGAAAAGATTATTGAGGTCTCAATTGTCTCCAAGGAGGACGGTGGAAATGCATCATTTTGAATCTTTAAGATTGATGGCTCGCTTGACTTGCTTTTGCGCTTCTTTCTTTGCGGTAAAGTAGCTTCTTTCGGAGGACCAGAAGGTTCAATGACGGGATCAGAGATTTGTGTTTCTTTTTGTGAATTCTCAATTATCCCTAAAGAGGACGAGGATTTTTCTTTATTGTTGTTCTTCGTCATTTTTCTCTTGTATTTCCTAATTTTAAAATCTTGATTCTTATTCTCTTGTCCATCTTCCAACAATTTGATGTCTGCAAAGAGTGGATCGCTTATTTCTGCTCCTGTCTGATCTGCTGATGGTGTGGATGTAGATGATTCTTGCTGGTTATTTTCCCCGGTCATACCATGATTCTGTTCGAATTTCTTAAAGGCGTCAACAGTGAAATAACGATAATGACGCTCACGCCCATGAAACTCTGCAATTCGCTTTACGCCTAAATACAATGGCTTATCTTGAACTGGTTTTGAGAGCCGGCCAAGAATTTTATATAGGATGCGATTGTTAAGATTGCTAAGTGAACGATGAAGAGTCTGTGTTGTTTGAATTACACATTAAGAGGCGAGTCTCTAAATCAACGATGGCATTTGAAATCGATAAATGGATATTTACCGCTGGAATTATTCCTTTTTCTCCCGATAGTTCAATCAAACGATACACTTGATTCTCAAGTGGAAGATTTGGGAATAGTCCTTTTAGTAGAGACTGAGACGAGGATTCCTCCGAAGATTTATTTATACCAGATGATGACGACGCTTGGACGATTTCTTTACCTGATTATTAGATTAAAATAAAATTTGTGATTGCTCGTACAATTGATCAGGCTTTTAATAAGCAAAAAGATAAAGCCAACTAACCTTTGGACGATGCATCCTTATCCTTCGATTTTTCATATAGCTTCACTAGTTTAACACATCGATCAAGTCTGTTGCTTCCCTTTTGAGTGACATTCACTTTTTCTATGAAACCTTGATGATGCATGGTCCCAATTGTACGATTAAACCATCGACGTTGTTTGACACTAGGATTATGCATTCCCTAATAAATATATTTAATTCAGAGGAAAGAAATGAATTTATATGTCACTGGTAATAATATTCTCATAATAATAAGTACCAACCAATGCCTTCATTAGATCCGTAGCCAACATTATTTTATTTTTAGCTTGCGCCAGAATTTCAGTCATCCTGAGTCTTATTAGATCAGAAGTATATGACACTCCTTCGTTCAAATTTTCAATGCTTGTTTCTGTACTGTTATCTTTATTGCTACTATTGTTATTACCATTATTTAGAGATTCGGGAATTGGTGATTCTTTCGGAAGGTAAACAGATTTCCCGGCGTATGCTTGATTATCGGGTGCACATTTCGCGAGTATACACAGATTGGTGTATGTTCCTTGTATTACTACTGGCAATTTGACACTAAAAGAATAGCATACATAATATTGATCAGACCAAAACCTTGAAATAAACCAAAGAGAACATAAACTCGAATTCGTTAAAATACATTAATTTAAAGTTAACTAAGGTTCTTATGTAGTGAAACGCTGATCTAGGATCAATAGAAAGTTTTTTGGCAATTTCCGATTGAGTTTCTCCTTGAGCCCTCTTTCGTGCTATGAGTTGCAGAATTTCGTAGACTTGTGGAGTAACCTGCCGTGATGACTTATAAAAATACAAGTTGAATCTGCATGTATATGCTAGTTTAGAAGCAAATTGAATGAAATTTAAGCTAATAAATCATGCATACATCCGTTGATCCATATAAAGCGTGCTTCTGACGTTCAGGTTTAGCTATCATGACTAAAGAATTGCCATACTTTGAATTAACCTCTTGTAATGTTAAATTGTCGACCTGGATCGATTCGAGCGTTGGTGCCTTTGGCTAAGTGATAAAGAATGCTATTTCAGCGCGCAAAAATAGCGAATCTTGAAAACTAAAAGAATGTTTGCATGCCTTTTTCACAGGAGCCTTTTTCTTCGAAGATGTAGCTTCATTACTCTGTTCATTGTTCAAAGAAACTTTTGCGAATGAGACTTCACGCGTACTAACGAATAGTTTCCAAAAGTACTCTCTGAACGCGTCGTCAATATTTGGAAGGGGGATTGCACGGCTTGAAGCTTCATGAGTCTCAGAATCGGAATGTGTTGAGGAAGAGTCTTGAGAATAATTCAACTTGATAAATTCTGTTACAAAGCTCCATAGACGAAAAAAATTCGAGCCTGTTGAACACAAAATTCAAGAGTTTAGAACTTTGCATTTGGTTTTAGTCTTCTTTCTTGAGAGCAAACCTTGCTCGCCGTCAAGTGCTATTTCGTCAATACAGTATTTTATCAAATCGTCAAACATTTTTGTGTGAAGAGAAAATTAGAAAATAAGTGAATCATCACCTGTTTCCTAATTTGTAAAGTTTGTTAGTGTTCTTGGTTGATAACTGATCGACTGTAACCAAAATTATTAGCCAAAGTCGATTAGTCGATTTCTGTATCGGTATCTAACGCTATCTGTAACGCCCGATTTTGAATCAGATCAGCCAATCACACAAAAGTCTCCCTATGAGCCAGAATCACTATATTTTCCCGATTGGTCTATTAATCGTTCTATATAACAAATTCTTGAAACTAAAAAATACTGAAATTCAACAACAATTCTTTAGTAAAACATGGCACTCCAAGGCACTAACACACAAGTTCTTTTTGTAAAGCGTCCAATCGGTCAATTCAATCCGACGGAAACTTTTAAAATAGTGAAAACACCTGTACCAACTGTTGAAAGCTTGAAGGAAGGCGAGTTTATAGTTAGGAATTACTGGTTATCTTTAGACCCCGGTATGTCTCCTTTAACGAATTACATTTTTTTGAATAAGATGAGTTGTATTTCGTATTTATTCTTCATTAATTTATTTGCTTTAGCTATGCGCGGATGGATGAGTGATTCTAGGAGAAGGTAATTCATACTATTTTAAATCCCTATCCTTATTTAATTTCTTGCTAATTTCTTTTCTTTTGTATGAAATAACAGTTATATACGTCCAGTAGGTGTGTATTTTCCAATAAAATAAATAACCACTTTGCTTTATTGCACCAGATCAATAAATTCTTTAAATTATAATATTTAGAAATAAATGAAGTAATGCGTGGTCAAACCGTTGGTGGTAAGCATAAAGCTATACAAATTTTTAGTAAATGATAAAGTAAAAAAAGCAAATGTTATTTAAATAAAGTGGTTGTCGCATCAAAGAGTTCGAAATTTAGAGCTGGTGATAAAGTTCAAATTATGGGAGGTAATTATTTTCTTTTTGAAAAGTTCGAATTTTTTGAATTCTCAAAGATTTTATTTTAACGCGCGCGTATTTAAGGTTGGCAGGAGTTTACAGTTTCTAATGGAAAAGGCGCGTGGAAGCTTGAGTAAAGTTTTTTAAAAAAAGGTCATTCAAGCAATTCATAGTTTACCCAAATCTAATTATCATTTCTACGAATTCAAGTGTTCCGCCAGGTGCACATCTTCACGATTTCTTGGGTACGTTTTGTATTAACATGGAAATATGTTTCCTATATTTCTACGTAAAAATCACGAAACCTGGTAACTGAAATTGATTTTCTTAGGTATTTTTGGTGGTACTGGCATGACCGCGTACTTTGGATTACTCGACATTGGTGAGTTGGCAGCCTAATATCATGTTATTTCAAAATTGCAATTGATTCGAATTTTCTTTAGGCAAACCCAAGGCCGGGGAAACAGTAGTCGTGTCGGGAGTGAGTGTATTTTCTATATTTTTAATATTTGATAAATTTTATATCAATCATTTATTCTTGATAATCAATTAAGGCAGCTGGCGCTACTGGAAGTCTCGTTGGTATGCATTTCTTCCATAGGCTTCAAATGAAAAAATGGATGCACATATCAAGAAAAGCAATTGATTGTTCTATATACGCGTTTTGATTCACACAGGTCAAATAGCAAAAATTAAAGGAACACGTGTTATCGGGATCGCAGGCTCAAAAGAAAAATGTGATTGGCTTGAGAAAGAACTCGGATTCGATGTAGCCCTAAACTATCGCGACGCTGATTTTTCAAAGAAATTAGCAGCCGCTACACCGAAATATATCGACGTGTATTTCGATAATGTCGGTGGCGATATTCTAGATTTGTGCCTGAAACGTATCGCGCAAAAGGGAAGAATTGTGGTCTGTGGTGCGATTAGTCAATATAATGAAAAAAACCCACAAGGGCCGAAAAATTATACCACGTTGATTACACAACGTGCACGAATGGAAGGATTTATTGTGTTTGTATTTTTTTTTCAACATAATTCTTGCTTGTTTGTTATATATTAAGAATATTGTTTGATTTGTAGATTTGACTATGGGCCTAGATACCCTGAAGCAGTGCGTGATATTGCCAAATGGTTACAGGAAGGAAAGATTAAGCGAAGGGAGTTTGTGACTGAGGGTTTGGAAAATGCACCCGAAGGATTGTTAAGATTATTTAAAGGCGAAAATACTGGAAAGACCCTTGTTAAATTGGTGAACGAGAAAAGTAAACTTTAGCTAAAAATATAAAAAATATATTATTTTTGTAAGTTAATCTCAGGTTCGATACTCACTTCCATATTGAAGAACTAGCATTTATCATGGAACTTGACCATCTTGCGATGGAATCAATTTTCAGAATACGAATAACATAACATAACATAAATAGCACATATGTAATAATTTGACTTACCATATATTACTGAAATCAAATATTAGATCATCATCATCATCATCATCAACATTATCTCTTTGATCACGCACAGCATCCAAGATTGTCTCCGCAAACTTGTAAAATATTTCATCGTTTTGTAATGCATTTACTAGCATTCTTTCTGGATCATAACTATTTGAAAAGTTATCAACATTGATCAAAATTGCGCGAAGTTTATCGTCCTTAAGGAATTCGCGAATTTTGGCTGATTGTTCTATCGACAGATTAAGGTTAAGTATGATGAACAGATTTCCTACTAGATCAATATGACACAAGTCTAACCTAATTTTTCCAATTGCTCTGGCTTTAGACGATCATTCTCCTCTTCCTCTTCCTCAGCACTGCTTTTTACTTTGCGAGGGTACACTTTTGTAATCATAGAGTTAATTCTAACGCCAAAAATGGTAGTGAATTGCAACGGAAAACCTCGAATATTATACCAGGTAATTTAGGTGGCTTTTTCTCAAATTTCCGACATGGTGTTACTTTATTAATAAATAAACAAAGCCCCAGGTAAATCAGTATCCGGAAAAGCTTGAAAAAAAACACTCGGTATCTTTACCTTTATGTTCATTATAGCATGACAAGGTGCAACTAAAATATAAAATTACGAGAATTATATAAAGATCGAGAAATAGAAAGTGTGTAAACTTTTTATCTCAAACAATATAAAATTACTACATGGGAATAAGGCACGTAGTACATTTGTATCTCTGAGGTTGTTTTTCGCACACTCCGCAGGTACCGACTATGTTAGTCATGATTAAAAAGGAAAAAAGATAAACTTATTGACAAAAAGAAAAGGTGTATCTGCGTGTGAATTCTAGATTATCGAAACACGTTTGAGAAAAAACGTAATACATGTAACATCGATCAACATTTATTATCGTCTTAATAGTGATTAAGAGAAGACAAGACTATTTATATTGAAAATGACTTTATTATTATATTCACGCACTTTTGTTAGTTTCTACCCAGTCGTGTATCAATTAATCAATCAATCAATTCGTTTCTCAAGTACCAAAGGATTCTATTTATTATTTTTTTTCAATTAACAAGTAATGACAAAATATGTTCGAATCGGAACTGAAGAGTCTATTCATCTTCAGTCAAAATCATTTTTACTGGCAATTATCGTCATAACAATCCTTATACTTTTATTTAAAAGTAAAGATCTCGCGCATATTTCAAAAATTGAAGCAAACGAGGATTGTGTCTCAACTTCCAATGTCTCAAAAACATTTGGATTTCACAATTATACAGAATACCTGCGCGGTGAAATTCCACTTATAATTGCAGTTCCACATGGTGGCCACTTTTTACCAGAAGATTTACCAAATCTTTCGAGAATCGAATCAAATCAAGATCAAGACTCAGAAGACTACATCCAATTCAACGATGTAAACACACAGGAAATTGCGCGTGTTGTGGCCGATCAATTGATGGTCGAGTTTGGTGGTCGTCGAGTCTACATGGTGATCAATCATCTGAACCAACGTAAAGTGGACGTCAATCGACCTTATGAGCAAGGTACAGAACCGAATAAGACTTCTCCGATAGATTTTTCAAAATCGCAGATTGCTTGGAAAAGCTATCATGAATTTTTGAAGAGTGCCGTCGATGAAGTGGAAGCTCGTTTTGGGAGAGGATTAGTGATTGATTTTCATGGTACCTTTTCATTTTTTTTAGCATAATTCATTTTCATACAAATTCGATAAGCTTATATTTTTATTTTTTATCAAAATTTAAATTAGGTCACGATCATAAAAAAGAATATATTGAAGTTGGATATCTTTTACCAGTACATTCACTCGCGCTCCCAACTCATACACTCAACACAAACTCTTCAATTCATAACTCTTCGAGCATTCGCTCGCTATACTATCGAATGATCGACGCACAAATCACATTCACGTCTTTAATTCGCGCCGATGTTCTATCGTTAGGCGGTCGCCTACAAACGTTGGGTTATCATACAGTTCCATCACAAGCTCATCATTATCCAATGCCTCACAAAAGTTATCTGCCGGATGGCGGTGGTTATTCTATTCGCACGTATGGTTCGTCAAATGGAAGAAAAGTTGACGCCGTGCAATTAGAATTACCAAAGAAATTCCGAATTGGAATTGAAGCGTCACATCGATTTGTTGTTGATTTGGTTGAAGCGATAACCTGGTTCTTTAAAACGTACTATTGGGGTCGCATAGGATGTAGAGAAACGTAAATCAGCGAATTAACTATTAACGAACTATTATTATCTTACATTAGCAAATTATCCAAGTATAATCTCAAGAATTATGATAAAATCAATTTCCCGATTTGTACAATTAACGTTAAGATCTGCGTCTATATTTTTGTTCGTTGGAGAAATAAACCAAATTAAAATCTTTCATAATAAAATGTTTAGTAAAGACCTAATACAATTATTAGTATACATTTCTTTCCCCTTTCTACTTCAAAAAGGCTTAGAATACCTAAGACGCCGAAATGATCCTTCACAAAATGTTCAAAACAACCGACAAAAGCATGAATCAACACGAGCAGAAATTTCTGTTGCCGCTTTGCTAATTCTTACAATTCTCTATCACCTTTACAATCTCTTAATCTCCGTACCCGAGAACATTTTCAGTACACTAAGAACTTCACTAAGAACTCCCACCTTCAAACTGAAAGCTTTGCTCGGAACCGAGCCAAAAAGATACACAGAACCCGAGATTGACATAATACTAACAAAATTTGCATCGCTCGAAAACAGATACTTGTACGCCTCTTATGGTCATGAAGCTTTTCTCGATTGTACTTATTGTCGTGATGCGACCGATTACCTTTACTACATTCTGCCAAAAATCACATTTTCATATGTTGTCATGGTGGCAATAATAGGTCTTGCGACAACGCTTCGACGAAAGCAAGACTATCGAACATACTGTGTTGTATTTCTCGTGGCCTGTGGAGCATTTGATATCTATTCATATGCAACACTTGATCTTCGACTCTTGATTTCAAATTCTGCGATATCCAATGATTACTATCACTACTCAACAGCCGATTTCTATCGTCGGTTAGCATTTTTGGGTGTCTCGTTCGCGATATTAATTCTGAACAAGACCGACGTAAGAACCGAAGCAGAAATTTTGCTTGATCTGCAGAGATCTCAAGAATATGTGTTGGTGAGATTACAAGGTGCGACTTTGCAACGTGCTGCGATTTTGAGGGATTCTGGATTACGAAAAGCGTATGTCGATTATTATAAACGGGTGGAAGTGGATGAGGGTATGGTTTACTCGGATCCAGAATATAAAAAGGCGAGGGCAGCTGCTTTGGCTAAATTGAATGTGGAAAATATTGCAAGAGATGCAGAATTATATGTAGAAAATTTAACGAGGGTCAGGGAAAGTGAAGGGATGTTGACTAATAGAGATCAGAATGATATGTACAGAGCTACCACAACAAATTCAAATTTGGTTGGTGGAGGCGCTAGCAGGCTCAGCAGTGGCGGCTTATAATCTATTGTCAACAATTACTCTTCAAGTGAATTTTAATTTATACCATTTTTCCAATACTAAGTGGCTGAATAGCTAGAAAAATGCAATTTTTCACAAATTCATTCTCTAAAATTTTATCTAACATATTATAAAGGACAAGACATTATAGTAAAAATTCTGTCTTTATCCACTCTGAAAATAAGGACGCATTTTATTACAATGATTTCGAGCTAATTAGGATCAGCTAGATCAATCTAACATCATCTCAGACCCATAAGTGCCTCCATATTTTCCTCCGAAAAGTTCCTTGCATACTTTAAGCGCCTTTCCATATCGCTTATACAATGGCTCATCATCCGCTTCAGGAAGAAATCGGATTGGTTCCACCTCGTCAATATCTTGATATTTTTGAATGTCCAATATCTCCGGCGCTGCATAACTAGCAACAAGTTTTTCCATAGCATTTACCTTTTCGTCATCTAAGCCTTCGACTGTTTGCTCAGTAAAATTGAGCCAATCCTCCCGAATCCTAACAAACATCCTGTCATCGTTGAGAAGGTCTGGACCCAAGATTCGAATAAAATGTTTTAATAATATGAGTGCATCTCTAATCCCGGCATTCATATTATTGGGATTGTTGGCTTTATCTAATGCACTTTGATGCATTGTCTATAACAAATAATATTAACATGATGAATATAATTACAATATATACATATGTGGAAATTTATACTCGAAAATAAAAAATAAAAGCATGCAAGCTTACTTGTAAACATATTTTTGCATGTTCAACTACATAATGTGATCTTTTAATCTCCTCAATGTTACTGTTATTTACTAGTGGTAAACCACTTATGTCATCTTCGGTTTGAATGAAGTCGATCCAGCGCTCTTCAAGTTGTAAAGTATGAAGGAAAGCTTCGAATGCATTTGCGTACTCATCAAATTTCATACGCTCTAAACCTTCGGTAAACCACATGGTGATTTCCTCGTAACGTTCAAAAGCGACCAATATTTTCTTGAACTTTGGGTCCTCACGGTATTTAGGATCTAGTGGAAGTGGATCATCGTCCCATGAAGTTTCCTGGAGATTTTCATGAAAAACCAAGTTCCGATTAATTAATTACTAAACTGCGGATACTACAAAAATGCAAAAAAATTTCACGGAAAGATATAAAATTTACCCTTCTATTAGTTTCAAGATATTCTTTTAAAAGTGTTTGTGTGAGCTCCGATTGTCTCAATCTCGCACAAAAGAGTTCAAATCTATTAAAAAGAATTTATTAGTTCAAAAAGCTCAATTCGAAAGCAGCAAACATATGACATATACCTTTGAACTATCCTGTAATCATCATTTCGGAGATCTCTCGCTTGAATTTCAATTTGACTATATTTGTGCTGAAAATCATGTGGTGTATTCTCATTGGAAGAAAAATTTGTCGTGGAATCAGAATTCCACTGTTCATCGGTCCGTCCTCCGGCGTCTACAGGTGAGTATGCGGGTGGATCCATTCGCTCTTTATAATTTATAAATTCTTGCTTAAAGGCATCGTTATCAACTCTCACAAATTCCTAGATAAATATCATGACAGAATGAAAATCATTGCTAACAAAGTTTACAAACAAAGAGAAGAAACCGCAAAAACCTTAAGAGTCGTCGGAATTAGAGGCTCATAAAAAGAATCAGGGAAATTATATAGACAATCCGGATGAACATAAATTAGAGTATGGATGCCGGCATTATAATTTGCGCCAGCATCATCTCTAAAGACTTGTTCTTCGGCCACCTGTTCAATAAACTCGTATCAGCAATGAAACATTAAATATTTGATTAAATCTTTGAAATATATAATACCTTTTTCACTTCAGTGTTTTGAAATTTCCACCAATCTCCAACCTCATAATTCTCACTTTTATCCTTTGGAATCCAGATGTAGGCCCAATCATTGTTACTATTATTGCCATTATTGCCATTATGCATTTCATCGTGAATTATCACAGCACAAAGACGATAAGGAATCTGGGTTAAGCTTGGTCTGTCGTAAACAGTCTGTAAGTGATGATGTAATTCATCATAATGTGTCATAAATCCTTGATTAAAAATCTGAATTAGTAAAAGGTAATTATACTAAAAAAATAGTATTTAAAATTCCCATTATATCACCTTTCAACCTTTCTTCTGTGCGAGTTTTGAACTTCTCCAAAAAGTTGATTACGCTTGAAATACGCTCAATAGACTCTGTGTCGGTCGGCTCAATGGTATCGCGTTTTCGTTCATAATAACTAATAGATCCTTGGAGAAGATCCAAACCATTAGAATTCCCCTTTTACACGTTAATAACAATGAAAATAACTATCAGCAAACATTGGCCATAAAAAGGCTAAAACACGAGAAAAATAAAAAACATACAATACCTCAAAGTTGGTAATATTATCAATTTCCTGTTTTGTTCGTTGAAGATCTTGCTCAAGGGTCTCAATTATTTGCCAGCAGCTAGATACTTCGTCCTTGTTTTGAATCAAGTACCTATCCATGTATAAGATTTTGTCCAAAGAAAAAGGTGTATTGCTGTAATATGTAGAATTCATCGAATATTTGTCATTCGAATCCTTGCGCATCAGATGAAATATTACAATTTTGCTAAGGTCAGTGAAAAAATATTTTTTTTTCATTGTAAAGTCAAGCACATTATAAATATTCGATTGATCGTGTGTTATATGCAAAGGGTTTCGGCAATTACAAAAAATAAACAACTTAAGGATATATATATGTATGCATAGATGATGTAGAAATAATTAATACGTTTCCGATAATGCAAGGATATTATCCGATTGAGAGTCTGATTCTTTTTTTTATCAGAATATTCTCTGACATAAGACATAAATAACCTGAATAATTAAAACAATTAGATAATCAAAATAGGCAAACATACAATATTTTAGACCCAAAAAAGATTAAAACAAGAAATCTTCGTCTTACGTGTCAAATGAATTTATATACGAGACCAATCCTTTGGCGTGCTCGTCATTTTCTAATGCATCTTTATCGTTAAATCGGGAAGCTTCGCATAATCGATTAAACAAGGATTCATAAAATTCTACGAAATTCAAGGAATAAATAAAAAATACGAATTCTAATGCTGGCATAGCAACAGAAAAAATAAAGGAAACTAACCGCCGAGAGCTTCGGAAAACTCGGGCCATGTGTCTTTATTCTCTTTAAATTCAATTGCTTCCATGATATACCTAGAATCACCATAACTCCTGCCGCTTAGCATTAAAAAGACAAATAGCTTTTGCATTTCATGGACAACTATTGTACAATCAATTTCCACAATTAGTGTTTTGTATTTTAAAAAGACTGAAGAAAGAAAAATAATTTGCACGTCACCATTGAGACTAACATATTTTTTGGAATATCGTCGATATTCGGAAGAGTGAGATGAAATTAAATCCTGCTCATCGGATAACCTTGAGGATTTTCCCTGCCAATATCCTTCTACATTTCCCCAATTTTCGCGCGTAGGACGGAATCCCAGCACCGAAATTCGGAATATAGGTATATGAAACAAGGCTTGAAAGATACACGTAGCAAAATAATGTTCTGGGAATGGCCTTAGTCCCAAAGGCCTATCAAGAGTAAGAATATATTCATAACAATTAATAAAATCACGTTAATCAGCCCCAAAACCTTGATTCGACAAGAAAGAATAATAAAAGAGAGCAAATAGATACGTGTCGACAAAAGTATCTCTTGTTCGATGTGCCGGATTTTCCGGATCCGTCCAGTCACCCCACGGGTCTTGATATGACCTCTGATATGGCCTCTGATGTGTATCTTCCTAAAAGACAGGTAAGATTATTAAATAAGTACAGAAGAAAAAATCCGTAATAAGCTTTCTCCGGAGGTATTTATCCTAAGTAACTACGTTAATTTGAATATCTGCGCAAGAACCTTGGTAGGGTGATACAGAACTAATGCCTTTGCATCGTAATTTCCGTTTGCTGATTGAGGTCTCGAGTCAGCCAAACTTTTCTCAACTCCTCTTTTAAGATCTGCTTCGTTTTGATCATGTATCGATGCTCTCAGTGCCATATCTATGTCTAGATAAAAAATTTAAATTTTTCGAAAATGCATCTTTTAATGGACTCCTTATGAATTACCGGCGCTCTCATCTCCTGTCAAATCTATGGCAGAATTGTTCGTGGCTGCTGCATCTTGTACATTGAATGGAGCTGTGAAAATTACAGAATTACTAAAAAATTGACTATTCAAAAATGACTAAAAATAATTAGACAAGAAAAATAGACTTACTATCTGACTTTGGAGTAGAAGAATTCTTCCAATCATGACTGTCAGTATTCATAGGTTCAGTGCTATCATTTGTACTAACCAAATGAGGCTAATATAAACAAAGTAAAATAAAATTATAAAGCTTAAACTATTCGAAAGAAATATCAACATAAAATAGTTACCAATTCATCAAGGGTTGATTGTCCAGAAAAAATATAATCAATTGCTCTTTCCACATTATTATCGAATTTCTTTGAAATATCAACAAAAAAATGGTATGTTAAATGCTTCAATTGAATTATTTGGATCTTTCCATTCAATTCTCAAAAACCTCCCAATTCGAGCTTGAATTCAATGAATTTTTGTCTCGAAATGCGATTTTATCATTTTTGGACTTACTCGAAGAGCATTAACAGCATCCAACTCAGGAATTCCCTAAAACAAAACAAACGATATCAGTAGAGGTGAACTGCTTATTTACCCAAGCTAATGCAATAAAAAATCAGAGTTTAAATTATACCATTTCTCGAAGCGTGCTAAGGGCTTCTTCACGAACTTGTAAGCCAATTGAAAGTAGTGATTGTGAACTCATGACTATATATATTTCACAAAGTTATAATATTTGATGTTAATGACTTCAAATTTTTTAAAAATATCGTTGATGTATTGCATTGGCAAAACTCGAAATAATATGATTGGATGAGAAGTTCAATGAACATCAATTAATTTTCGCAGAATCCTTAAGCAATATATGTAATAATATCGATATGTAATCCACAAGGGTTAATTTGTTGAATTCAGTTGATGCTTTAATGATCAATTATATTGGCTTATTTTAATACAGTTAAAACTCTTTTAGTCTTTTTATTAATAATCACATTTATAACTAAAAAAAATAAATTTTGAGAAATAATCATAATATTTTAGTTATATATTATAATATAATTTATATACGGTGCCGGAAATCATAACTCGACACTTTACAGCAATGGAATTTAGAAAATCAAACCAGTAACTTTATTCTTTAAGATAAGCTCTATTAAACTACCATATGTAATAAAATGATAAAATCGTATATAGCAATGTCATTTCATGGTATTCCTGTCTTGACCTGTCGTCCCTAGAAGCTTTAGTCCCATATTCAACCGGTCATTTCGTTTGGCAGCAAGACGTGAGGCAAAGGTAGATGTAGTTCGAGGCTTCGGGATTTGCTTTTTTTCTGTATCCATAATATTTAACGAAATATTAATTTGTCAATAAAAAAAAAAAGGAATCCACGAATCATAAATTAAGTTTGATTTTTTTTTACCTGCCGATGATACAACAGATTTAGGAGTCGATAGTTTTGCAATCATTCCTCGCGGCATTAACATTGACTTATTTTGACCATCGCGAGCTGCTTGATTTTGCTGAAGATTATTGATTTTATTATTATCAAATGTTCTTTTTGAATAAGGCGACGAAAATGTCGACAAGCCATTTGTATTACTATTATTATTGACGTTGTTATTCGTGTTGGTGGTAGTTCGGCTCAAGAAGAACTTTTCTGCTTCCAGATCAATCTTATTGTTTTTTTTAATCTCACGCGATAGAAAAGATTTAGTCGAAGAATATTGCGAGTTCCTTGTACTATTATTAGTACTCCTTGGTACTGATGACAATATCTGATTTTCAGAATCACCATTATATTTTTGTATTGACACGTCTTTATTATTGTCATCAACTTCTAAAGGACCAAGCAACAATCGATGAATTGAGCGAACTACTTGATCTGGTGACTTGAAATCCGGCATTTCGAAATACTGGTCCCTGAATGATTTATTAGAAGTTGGAGTCAAGCAAACAGGCGGCGTGTCTTGATCGAACACGACGATTTCTTTCCATTGTTTGAGAGCTTCTTTAGCTTGTTCTTCTAGCTGCAGAATAGATGAATTTTCTGTCTTTAAATGTGGTGGCTTATTTTCATCTGATGGCGTGGTGAATTTTGGAGGTTCAGTAGGTGTTGTCGATAACGATAATGATGATGATAGCTTTGGTTTGTTATTTGTAATATTTGTCACTGTATTTGTAAATTTATCGGTTGGATTTTTTAAAGAAAATTCAACTGAATATAATGAAGGCTCTTTAATAATCGAGTCCAATGCTCCATATTTTTTGAGGCTTGTATCATTATCATTATTATTATTATTACTACTATTACTAATTTCATATCTATTATGACCAAAAGAAATTATCTCAACTATCTTTCAAGAAGATAAAGACGAATTAAAATCATTAGAATCAAAAGATACAAACTTTTTTTGCGCATGATTTATCATCATCGCTGGTGAATTTCGAATTTCTGTATTTAAAGGAGACACCACAACATTCAGAGGTTCAACATCGTCGCGTCGAATTTCATTTTCGTATTCTTCGTTGTCAACAGCATCGTTGATATCCAATGTGTCATTCAAGAAATTTAAAGTATCAGGAATCTCTAGAATTTTACATTCGTACCATTTTAATTAATTCAGTGAATTGATTTTTTATTTACAATTGAATAGATTAATAATAGTTCTCACCATCAGTAAATGTATTGAAAATAGCAGCGCTCTCTCTTCTTAGAGAACGTTTTATAAGCAAGTCGTAGTTGTCATACTCATTTTTATTATTATTAGTGTTGGTTTCGTCGAGACGAAGTTTATTGAAATCGAATTCAACGTCTGCAAATAGGAAATTGTCGTTGTCGTCGTTGTTGTTTTTGGCAGTTGTAATGTTCTCCATCATTGCTCACTCAAACAAAAACGAATATTCGTTAATGTTAAATTCTAATATTATTTTATTGACGTCACGCGTCATAAATTTAGATTTGTATTTCTGGCCAGCACTAGAAATTCGATTTCGTCCAATAAAAATCTATTGATATTAGTTATATAAATTGAAATTTCTCATTCCACACAAACCCGGCGATCCAGTTTTTTATTTTTAAAGTCAAAAAATTTTATTTAATAAAATCGAAATCGATTATTTTTTTAGTCCGGTAACTTCGGGACGCGAAGTTAACGTTAAGGCAAATCTAATAATAGTTGGATGTTTCGATTCGTGTACTGAATCGCGTCCTGAAGTTACCGATTGTGTTAAGTTGGCTTGATGTCACATGAAACGATATAAGCTATTATTTTGATTTTGTTCCAATGATATATCGATATACACATATCACAATATCAACTGTAATTGGAATAAAAGATGCGCCAAAACTTGAGGCTATAATTGATTATGGCTCTGAAATCACGTATCTTTTTTATTACTATTACGAAATTTGCAACATACAAGATAAGTAGCTTCGTTTATCCTCAGTTAAGCCAACGAGTCCCACAGAGGCTAAGAGACTACACCCTTGCGAATTTAGCTTAACAAGCTTCGTTTTTCAGAATGTTTGTATCACATCTCCCAGCCAATGCTGATTAAAACCTACCTGTTGAGCGAACCGAGTCGCTCACCGAATAAGCTACGCACCCACACGTGACTTGCGTGAGAACTTATCTTCCATGTCACACTTCCAACCCATCACACGTAATACCTCTTACTTTTTCGCTCTCAATTTCTGTAGATAAAAACGGACGAAACAGTTAACTTATTATACGAATTTATTATATAAGAAAAAGTACAACACTCTATACTTACAACGTCAAACATCAAATTTTTAGTACCCTAGCCATGGCAAAAAAAGGGTCGGATCATGTGATATTTGTGTATGTCCGAAAAAATTCTACAGTAATATAGGTTATTGTTAAAGGTTAATTTAAAGGTTAGGGTTAGAGCTGGAGTCAAGATTATATGTAAAATTGTCTTCCCAACTCTTTTTTTTAGTGTACCAAGCTGGATTTAGGCATCTATTTCCCGTACTTTTTACTTTTTCCATTTTCTTCTGATAAAAAATTTACGCATTTTTATTGGTTTGTCCCACAATCAGCACGTGATCCGACCCTTTTATTTTGCCATGGCTAGGGTACTTTCACATTGATTGAATAAATTTACGAATTTGCACTTTTCTCTTCCGTCTTAACTGTTCTCCAGAGTTTTGTTGGATATTCATCGTTTATCTCCTTCCTCAGTCTCCTCGACTTCCTCAAGGACATCAAGAACGAATTCTGTAATTTTCTCAAAATTCGTATCGTCAAGTTTTCTTTTTTGTAGCAAGTGAGAATGGTTTTCATTCGCTTTATTGATCCACCGCTTAATCGTTGTCAATATTCGCCTTGTTATCAAATACTTTTTTGTAGTTTCCGCCTAATGTTAAATAAAAAAAATTCAGTTTAAGTTCTTACATAAATCAATTTATTTTCAAACAACTTGCCAAGGCAAATGATAACTTCACAAGCTAAAAGAGCGACGTACTGAAGAGCATGATCCCATGCGCATTTTGTTACGCACATATTTCTTAAAATTACTTAATAATTCAACAGGATTGGCCTTATATTGGCCATGAAATACAGACTTTTTTAAAAAGATATTTACGTTCTCTATAGTAAACATAATAGATCGGCATCACCGAAGTCGGTACTCACTGGAGGACGTTGTTTAGCACAGAAGGCTTGCAAAACATCGAGGGGAATCCAACTTTCATTGTCAACGAGAAATTTATAAATTGCCTTCTCGGTAAGATTAAGAAAAGGCTCAATGACCGCTCCTTGTTCACTGGCGGTAAAGGAAAATACTTGCTTTATTGGTGAAGATTTACGAATAGGTTTTCGATCATTATTGTAATTATTGATGATTGCGTGACTTGAATCTTGTTTAGCAATGGATGAGTATAACCGCGTCTTTTTAAAGACTGCAACCGGCTTAGATTGTTCAGAGGAGGAGTCTTTCTCAAACCAATTAAACACCGTAATATGAGCTGGAGACTTTCGACGGAAGACTATCACTATACAAAATATCGTATAGTGAGTCGCGTAAAGGACTGCGGGAAACATCTAATGGACAGGCACTATACAGTGCGTTTAAGCTTGACTTTAAAGTATCTTTAACAGTTTGTTCAATAACGCCGGCGCGTAACCATCTAGAGAGCTGTTTATTTTAGCCATGAAAGTGAATTTATGCGACGCGTAAAGTAAAAAAAAATTTAAACGCGAAAATGAACGAACAACGAAAAACGCGAATTAAAAATTGAAATGTCGGACCCCCTACAAGAAAACAACGAAATAACGGAAATATGGCAATTAGCCACCCAATTCTCCACAAAAATACATGAAAACTGCCCAGAGTTAAGAATAACAGTAGAAAGCACGGTCCACAATTCGACATATCAACACTAGGAGAAATATTGCCAATAGAGAAAGTCGTTAACTAAATTTTCACACCCCAAACAAATGAGGAAAATAGAAGAAACAATGGTGAACAAAATAAAACTGACGAAATAATACAAGGAATCAACAAGGAACTTAGGAAATCATGGGAAAAGGCAAAAATAACCAATTTAACTTTCACTGGACAAAGTGACGAAAAACTATATCTCTTACTTTCAATTAGAAAAATAATGGAACAAAGTTGAAAAATGCTTAATAACATTATAATTATTAAGAATTATGGATGGAAGAGTATAATATAATCAAATTTATATAATACATCAAGCATTAAATTATGATTATAACAAATTTAAAAAAAGATAATGATGTGTTCATGATGTAATTAGCTAGAATGAAATCTGGAATTTTTAATAGTGATGTTTAATTAAAGGATTTTTATGTAATAAATATATAATTTCATTATAAGATTATAATTTAATAATAATAAAATAATTTTATTATTAGATAAATTTATCATTAATTTATTACATGTTTTTATACTTCTTTTGTATTATTAATATTATTTATAAATTGTGATATAATTTAGAATAATTATTAGTTATATAAATTATATAAAAAATTAAAAATATATAAAAGAAGAGTTTCTTGTTGCTAAAAATTCTTATGCTCTAATCCTTTTATTTAATAAATAACAAAATTCTTACTAGTAATATTTTACTTGTAAATACATTATTATTTTCATGAATTATTTTCAAATCTTGAAATTACAAGTAGTGAATGCTTCTCCACTCTAAATAAACTATTGATATTATTACTTTTATTTAAATTAGTTTTATTATTTTTAGACAGTTTCAATAAGTTTTGTTTAATTAATTTTAGTTATTTTTGTTTATATTTCATAATTGATAGTCTTAATAAATTCAATTATTATTTTATTTTATTAGGTATTATTACTAAGTTCTATTACTTACTTTGGAATTATTTGTCAATTTTTAGTTTACATACAAGCTACCACAGGAGATCTTTAAAATCTTTAGTAAACTCTATTAATTATAATTTATTCAGATTTTGTTCTTTCACTATTATATTACTTTGTTAGTTTATTAATTTTAATAATTCTTAAATTAATAAGAATATTATTTTATATTATATTACAATTTACAAATATTATTAATAATATAAAAGAAAAATAAATACTAAAAAATTATATAAATTTATTAAAAAGAAAATATAAAAGAAAATTAATTGTGACTTTAGTAATTAAAAACAAGAAAAAGCAAAAGTTTGAATACAAAAAGTATTGTAAAAAAAGAAAATAATAGTATAAACTTGATTATAAATAATTATAACAAAGAAATTAAGAAATATAAAGAGTAATTATAATAAAAGTAAAAAATAAAATAAAATAAATATAATTATAATTAATTAAAAATAATAAAATTAAAAATAAAAATAGGTATAATAGAAATATAAATAAATAAATCAATAGCAAAAATATAAATTTTAGAGTGAAAAATACAAAAATAAATAAATTTAATAAAATAATAAGTGAAAATAAAACAAAAATGTGATTATTATTAAGTATTATAATTTAAATATTAAAAAAGTAATAATATATATTAAATAGAATTATATAATAAAATACAATATAAAATTAAAAAAATAAATTAATTTAATTATTATTGAGTTATTATTTATATTATAATATAACTTAATTTTTATTAATTCAAAAATTAAGTAATTATAAAATTTTTGATGAAATTGATAATATTATTTAACAAATAGAAGAAAACATATTGTATAATAATTTTGAAGTAATAAAATCTGATAAGATTAAATATATAAAGTATGATTAATATAAATATTAGTTAACAAATATATTATGAAATTATTTATCCAAAAGCTTATTCATAATAATATTATAATAATTACTGTATTATTTTTATATATAATTCCATAATTTTATTAGTTAATATATAAGAATACTTATTTCTTATTCTATAAAAATTATCAAACAAATTTGTTTATTAAATTTACAAATTTTAGATCTTATTTAATTAAAAAGTTAATAATTTATAAAATAAATTATATATAAATAAATATTATAACTTGAATTTATAATAATATTTTAATTTTATAATTTTATTTACAAAAATATTTTTAATTGTAAACAAAATAATAAATTTTAAAATAATAAAATATTTTGTAAAATCTATTAATAATTTATTATTTATAAAATATCAATATATAATTTTAATATCAATTTATAATTTTAATTATATTTTATAACTTTGATTATGATTATTTTATTTTAATATTTATAATTATAATTTGAACTTTTTATAATAAAATATTTTTTTAGAAAATATAATTATAGGAATTAATAAAATTATGAAATTATACATGCTTATTAATAAAATATAATAAAAATAAAAATTTTGTTTTATATAAAAGTTTTCAATTTTATTAATAAATATTTTTTATTTTCTGGATTTTTTTTTAGATTTTTTTTGACAAAGTTATTTTAATTGCAAAAATTTTTTATAATTAAAATATAAAATTATAAAAAATTTTTGCAATAACTTTACAATTAGAATAACTTTAAAAAAATATAGGATAATAAAAAATAATAATAAAATATTTGACATTTGTCTTTTTATTGATGTTTCAACTAAAGATAGTATTTCAATTAGTTGCAGCTTGTGATGAGAATTACAGTAATCAATCAGAAAATTGTAATATAATTATGACTAGTTGTAGCTTTCATTATTAGCTTCAACAAATTATTATCTTTTTATATAACTTAAAGTTATAAAACTTATATTTTTTCTAAAAGTAATATAACCAGCTATTTGAAAATTTAAATTAATTATTTTTAAAGATATTTTAATAATTTTATAGATTTTTTATTTTTAACTTTAATTATATTACTATTTGGATATATACTTCAATATTCACATTATAAAATTTAATTTATCAAAGCAGTATTCAACTCAGAAAATATAATAATATAATATTTTTTTAATTGTAAACTCTCTTAAAGAAATTTTTCTAGACTTATTTTTTTTAAATTATATTTTGAACTGGAATTTTTATTAGTTTAAATTCTTTTATGGCTCACTTAACAAGTTCTTTTTGAATAATTAATGAATTTGCTTGAAGATGTTTACATATTATTTTTTTTGCTTATTGCACAAATTGCCAATTAATATAATTCAATTTTTTTTATATACTAAAGAATATACAATTTATAATTTTATTAAAAACAAAAACTCATCTTTTTATATAGAATTTTTATTATAAAATTATTTAATTTAATTTATATAATTCTTTATAATTATAATTCATTAATTTACATAATTTTTTGTAATCATAATTCATTAATTATGATTATAATTTTTCCTAATAAAAATTATTATTAAAGAAACTTTATTAAATTTAAATAAATTTCTTATTTCTAATTTAAACAAATTACAACTGATAATTAATAATAATGATGAAACAAAAAAGAAATATTATTTTATTACTTACTTGGAATTAGTATATGATTATTCAAAGAAAAATTGGTATCACAGAAAAAAGACTATCTAACCAATCATCTTTCTTAAAAGTCACATGATTCATGATCTATCAAAAAACTGAACCTTTTAAATCTGATAACCTCTCAAAACTTGACCACCAAGGATATCAGTTTTGAGAGGGTGGACTGTAATTAATAAATTATAATATAACGATACTAACAATAATGATAAGAATAAAATCTAATCCCATTCAAAGTTCCAATTTTTACGAGTGATATATCTTTCTTGTTTTGTCTTGCTCAACTCGTTTATCTCTTTGAAATCTTCATCGGGAAGCACAAAATCTTGAAAAATCTGTTCCGCCAAAGTATTATTTATTCCCGCGGCAACGACTGAAGTGCCACGTTGTGCAGCCCATGAAGAAAGCACTTGTTGTATGGATTTGTTGTGTTTTACCGCGATTTTGTTAATGACCTCATCCGTCCTTAATGCTGAACCGGCAACACCGAACGGTGAATATGCAGTTACATGAATATTTTTTGATTTACAGAATTTTAAGAGTTCATTCTATTTATTTTAAAGCGATCAGAAAAATAAATACGCCTACACCTTTAATTCAACATAGAACGATTATAGGAAAAAAACCTACTTGAGGCAAATAGGGATGCAATTCCACTTGATTTACAGCCGGTGGAATTTTCGCTTTTTTCAACAACTTTTCTAGTCGTTTTATTCCAAAATTTGCAACACCAATGGCTTTAACTTTTCCTGACTCTACCAAAGATTCCATCGCGTGATAAGTATCTAAGAAATCAATCGAGTCATCTATTTCGATCGGATGTCTGGGTTTTGACGACGTTTTATCGAGGTTCTCTTTAATCTCTTTTGTTTCCGAACTCTTTTTTTCCTCTTTATTCTCTTCTGTTTCTGGACTCTTTTTTTCTCTTGAATCCTTGAATGCTATTGGCCAATGCATCAAGAATCTAATGTAATTAATCAATTAGTTGTCATTGTTAATAATTAGCGGGAATGAATGAATAGCCATACATACAAATCATAATAGTCCAATTTAGAACGTTCCAATGAATTTTTACAAGCTTCCATTACCAGTTCCGGTTGATGTTGATTATTCCATAACTAATATTGTCGTAATGGATTAATACGAGAAAATGAGAATGAAGCCAAAAGACAACAATAAGACGCGCACCTTTTGCGTTAAAAAGATCTCTTCACGTTTAACTTTTGAAGTGATGATTGCTCGTCCCAGCGGTTGATCATTCGTATACTATTTAATTCATAATTAAGCGCACGTTGAAGAGTAAACGACAACAAACGTGCGTATCGAAAAATGAGATAAACTTACAATGATGGCGGTATCAATATGACGATGTCCAAGTTTTAAAAACTTTTCCACCTTGTATTGCACGGTGTGAGGCGAATATGTGGAATTTTTTACTACCGCGGGTGCTCCAACACCAACTATTTAATTTAGGAGATATCATGTTATTTCTTTTCCTTATTCTGTTGGTCGTATCCTCCGCCCTCGGAAAAATCCGAATTATACATGCAAAAAGACGCGAAAAAACAGGTACATACTGGCAGGAATCAATGCGCCCGTGTTAAGTTTAAAAGTTCGCGCCAAAGCCATTATCAAAAACTCCCTTTTTTAGAAAATATTCTTCGATTTAAATTGGAGGAGAATGAAAATTTTTTCTGTTTGCATCGTAACATACTAAATAATATAGAAACCGCGTAAAAATGAAATTTTTATGATGATGCAAAATGAGTAATCCTTATTGTTAACCAATTGGAAAATGCAAGATCGTTGGATTAGAGGGTACACGAACTCTCCATTTGGATTTTTGATGTATTATACATAATTTATTTACTATAGCAACTTTCAAATACAATTTTATCCAAAAACAGTTACTACACAAAAGAAATACCGATCTAAATTGAAATAAATATAAAACACCTTCAAACCAAAAAAGATTGAAAAAAATAAAATAAATAATCTAATTCATCTCCAAATAAACCATATCTTGGGTTCAACGGACAACTTTTCATCCAACTCTTTAGCACTACAATTCTCTGCAGTACAAATTTCGTCATAATGATGTGTACCATTGAGCAGTCTATCATATCAGAATCAAAGAAAACACGGTAAACTTGAGCAAAAAAAATCTAGATACGCGTATAAATATTCAAATAAAGTCAATCAAAAAAAATCTTACATACTTCCGCAAATTTAATGGTAACTTGCTAGTATTACTACTATCACCTCCACCATTACTCAATAACGCAAATTCAGGAAGGACAGGATACTTATGAACTCTATACAAGAACCTTTTGATTACTCCAAACGTTATAAATCGTCTAATTAACAAAAGGTAAGAAAAAAATCAGCAGATTTATCCAAATACGTTATAGTTGTCGTATACTAATTAACAAAGCTTTCTCACAGCCACACGAAAAGACAAATCAAATTAATTTACCTTATATCAATATTCAACGAAGAAACTTGATTCTCTTCAATCCACTCTTTCAACGAAACTCCATACTTCAATTGACAATACAATGAAAATAGTTTTATAAATGAAGGTGGTGGTCCCGCGTCTATTATTGTCATCATTATTGTTATTTGCCATTCACGTACATAATATGACATAGTAGATATTCACCTAATTACCTAGTTTGGTGACATAGGAAATACATTCATTCTGTACCGCCTCATCCTCAAGAACTCGCATTATATCTGGTTTTACAGCATAGACATTTGAAAACTGATTTTAATATAAACTAACATAAATATAACTGTGAATAATATAATTTAATTCAAATACAAAGAACAGAAACACACCTGAAATATATCCACCATTATTATACATCCATAATACCTAAATAAAAAATATATTTTTTACTCATTTTCAAAAAAAAAAAAAGAAGAAATTTCCTATAAAAAACTTACAATAAATGCTCCATACACTTTCGTGCAAGACCAGGATCAACATCTGCCAAGTCCGCAATCTTTTTTACGTGGTGTATCCCATTAATACGTGTCGCTACCTTTTACGCGTAAATAAATAAATTAATAATCTTCATTTCGATAATATGTACAGAAAAGGAAAATGATAAAATGTAAAGTACATTTTTCATGGTGAGATCCCAATTCACGTCCATAAGTACTTCCAGATTAACGGTGCAAATAGGAACTTGATAATCATAAACAGGGGGCGGATTTGGGTAAGTTGGGAACAATTTCAAATTGATAGTATTAGCAGAATCTAAATTTAATATTTAAATAAAATTAATCATCGAAATTCAATCATTTCAATTCATTTAACCATAAACTTACTAATGGGTATTTGACACTCGCAATAACTGTTTAAATCCTCCAACAACTGTTCAATAACATTATACATCATCTTTTTCTCGTACAGAAACCCGCTCTCCAATTCAAGACTCGTCAGAACACGCGCAATTTTACGTACCACCGGTTCATAACTACTAGTGTCGGCGTTACGATCAAACACAAAACACAAATTAAAAATGAAGTTGTTTCGCTTATAAACTTTTTTGTACTTGTGTGCGTCAATATACACCGGGAACCCGAGGACTTTATGAGAGTCGGTGCACACAGTAACTAGGTGTCCAGCTAGTGAATCTTTTGGAATTATGTATTCAGATATTGAGTTGAAATCTAAAATTGGTTGTTTGGTGGACTCTGAGGTTGGAAGTATTGAGCCTTCTGGCACCTCATAGATCACTTTTGGACCCTGCTTCTCGTGAAATACTGCGTAGAATATCGAAACTAGCCGTGGTGGAATACCTGCTTGAAATTCACTTTCTTTACGCGCATAATCTTCCATTGTATTTACTCATTCAGTCAATGAGCAAAAATTAAGCCGATCACGTTATTTTTTTTTTGAAAGGACTTTCTGATAATTTAAAAAAAAAGATGTTCGGTGCGTTTCGGGCCACACTTGTATCTTGTGGAGGCTTATTATGGTATGGGAAAAGTGTTTAAGCGATAACGAAGGATTTATATTCGTCGATTAAGCTCAGTAATAAAAAAATCAGGAAAAATCCCGCAAGGATGAGCAAAACTCGAAAAGCAAATGTTCGAAAACGTCTAAAAGCCGTTGATAAAGTGATTGAGGCAGTGATTGATTCGGGAGTGAAACTTCACGCATTGGTTTGTATCATTATTTATTAAACGAGCGAAATCAATCAACTAATTGCTTATTATAATTACTATATTAATCAGGGTGTAGCCATCAAAAACACTCCCAAAGAATCAACAATGAAACCACGAGATAAGTACACGGTATTCAGTAGAAAACACAAGAAATATCGAAAATCATTCCATAAGGTACCTAAATTCACCAAAGTTACGATGCGCCAAACTCCAGAGGGATTCTAAGATTTTAAGCTGGTTGTCAATATTGCGGTGAATGTTAGTGATGATGAGACCGCAAGCATTTGATAGATTTGCAAGAGGAACGATTTAAAATCCAATAAATAAACACAATAGCAAGGAACGGTTGTTTTTTGTTAATTTTTCCATTTATTAAATACATGGCTTTGGATGATGTTTGATTCTATAAATATTATTAGTCATTCTTCGTCATTACAAAAAAGTTATTAAAAAATCATGTATGTGTTCGCGCCGTTTTGTAAATCAAAACCTTAACTTTTATAGTTACCATTATTTCTAAATTTATTACTACTAAATCAAAGACTACCACTACTATCATGCTTCTTCCACGCCGCCAATTAACACTTGCATTACTAAAGCCAGATCTTTGTGCAAATCCAAATACAATTTCAAAAATCATTTCACGAATCACAGCGACCAATCATCATAACAATTTCGAGATAATTCGACAACGGGAGATATTGTGGCGGCAACAAGATGCCGAGGCGTTTTACGCTGAACATCGAGGCCGATTCTTTTTTGAACGGTTGTGTGGGTATATGACTAGGTATGTAATACTATCTTTATGATTTACTTTTTACGCTAAAACGAAGAAAAACTTTAAATTTAAATATTTTGAAGTGGCCCGTTCACAGCTCTCGTGCTCGCTCGTCAGAACGCAATTAAAGAATGGCGAGCACTTATTGGACCAACTCACCCATGGAGGTAAAAAATAATAATTAATAGTATAAAAAATGAGGAACATTTTACATATAGACATTTGTATATTTAGAGCACGAATGAATGCGCCAAACACATTAAGGTCACACTACGGTCTGACAGACACTCGAAACTCATTTCACGGCTCAGGTAAATAAAACATGATTTAATGAATCAGTATTACATCAATAAAATATATATTATGAAAATAGATTCCGACGAAACAGCAAACCGCGAAATAGAGTTCTTTTTCCCGGAATTAAATGTTGACGCGTGGCGAAGACAAGAAGAAAAAGAAGCAGCAATTTAGGTAATAACTGATAATAAATTCGCGATTTAAAAAAAAATAATTACCAAGTCTGCGCTGAATTTGAGCTACATATACATGTATTAAATTTCAACGGCGCGGAAAATCTAAAGAATCTATTTTTTCTAGACCGAATTGACAAGGATAACATATCATCAAGAAATCCCACATGAAAATTTACAATTTATACCACCACAAAAACTTATACATGTTGGATTAATCTTTTATTATATAACTTTCTCCTTCCGAAAAATTCTCTCGATATCGCTAAACTCTTGAATTATTTCAAAGGGTTTATGTTTAATAATTAAAGTCGCCCCAAATTTGAGTTACCGTTACTGTATAATATTCTGAATACGAGTTCAGTGTCACGACTTTTTTTTCTTAAAAAAAATAATATAATCGAGTATAAAAGCCAATTCACAAATTATATTAACGTTACATTCATGAATATTCAAATTACATCTTTGGTTCATTTTATAAATTTTTTTAGTAATTATATGCTGTTGAAATTATGATAATGTATATTGCTCGAGTTTTCATTGTGTTAAAGAACACTTAACATTAACGCATGTTACGTGTCAAATTCCTTTGCCTTCTTCCTCTTCCCCCCATTCTCATTATTATCATGTTTTCGCTTGACCAGTGTTTCTAATAAACCATTCTCGAAATAACTGCTAATATACATGGCGTGACAAACATCATTGATTATAACGTTTGTCCGATCTTTCGATGTCTAATTTAGTTTGTTGGAATCCAAGCTATTAGATAAAAGTCATAAGTAATAGTAAAGGTTAACTTGCGCTAGTCTAACGCTAATGGCCAATTTCAATAAATGAGTTATAACTAGCCATGAAAATCTACCGATAATCCCCCTTTAACCCATATCGATATAACTACGATAAATCACCGTGCATTATTAACAAATTTTTTGATTTTGAAAAGTATCTTTATATATTTTTTATATTTTACCAAATAATATTTATCTAAACAAAATATTAATATTGTGTATGTGAGCCTTTAGCATTGATAACAGTCATGATTCGTTGCGGCGTACTGGAAATCAAAATTGCGTACATCCAAAGGGACTTTTTTGCCATTCTTCCATGCATCGATCAAATCCTTTTTGGAAGTTGGAAGTAGAGGTGCAAACATTTCTCAGGTCAAGGGTAGCTACCCTCTAACGTCATATTGATACTGCCTAGTTACGTCTACGACTTAAGTTATTTCATGTTCTAATGTCAATTGGATTTAAATCGGGCAACCCATTCCAAAACTGGAATATTATGAGTTTGTATCCACCAACTAGTATAATACGAAGTACGACAAGAAGCATCAGCTTGTTGAAAGAATGTATAGGAATTATAATTCATCCAAGGAATTAAATTTTTTGCCAAAATGTTAACATAACCATCAGAATCGAGATTATTATTAACCTCTATCAAAGGTCCAACGCCATCCCATTCGATACTTCCCCAAAACATAATTGATAATCTATCATACTTTCATACTTCACTGTTGGAACTACACAACTTTCCAAATGTTTTTCAGAAGATTTTCGCCATACTCTTGTACGTCTATCTGAGTGAAAGAGAAAACCGTGACTCATCTGACCATACAATTTGGTGCCATTCAGTATTCCAATTTTTTTTTCTTTGCACCATTGTAAACGATTTTTTTTGTCGAAGAGTTAAAAGAGGTTTATGAATTGCATAATGGGATTCAAATGATAATTTCATGTAATTACGAGTACCGTAGAGTCCCGAAAATAAGCAACCCCCTACGTCATCATTTTTAGATCGATTTTTAAGGGGAGTTGCTTATTTTCGAGTCTTTCGCAAAAATGTAAAAATCTCGGCAACAAGTTATTCAGATCGAACGTGTTATAGCTCATCAGATTCGCCTCAGTGAGACAAACATTTTGGTAGTTGTTTCGTTCGATTTGGATCACTGGTTGTCATTATTATATATACATATCTATTATATATAGGGGTTGCTTACTTTCGGGACTTTACGGTAGTATTAAAGTGTATTGAGGTTTTGGTAAGTGCATTTAGTTGACTAGTAATTTTATAAGTGGTGCTTTGCGATCTTTTTTTACAATACGTTTTAAACTTCATTTATCACGTTCAGACAAAATTTTTGGTCATCCAGGACGTTTTACAGAATATGGCGAACCTGTTTCCTTAAACCGGTTGATTGTATCACGTAATCAAGATTTAGATATGGCTATATCATAAATAACTTTTTTATACAAGCTGATAGATAAATTTTAAAAAATCAAATAACTTGAACAACAAGACAAATTTGTCACAAATATGATAACTTGCAACAAATTATTGATAATTTACAGTTAGATCTTGATCATATTATACTAAATCGAAATTATTATTGAAAAGAATATCTATAGCTAAAAATTCTTGATATTCTTAAAAGCCAGCAAAATAGAACAAGGCATAAAAAATAGATATATAAATTTTTATGTGATTATATAGCTTGAGATTTATTGAAATACCAACAAATTATAAAAATTAAAATCACAAATAATTTTGAATCAGAATCAGAATATTTTGAATTTATAGGAACAAATTTTAGCAATAAATAATCCATTTCAAACTTTCATAATATCGAGAACAGCATCAGAATTTCTTGATAAATCAGATGAAAATATAAAAGTTTTTCTTAATAAATTCTGAGAACATAAATATATTAGATTTAAATTTCAAAAATGTTGATGATTCATCTATTCAAAGAATACAAAATGTGAATATATTTGAATTATATTTTATAAATCTAGCAACAGATTAATATACTGAAAATTTTACTAGCAAAAATTGGAAGTTGAGTAATGTACTAATAATATTAGACAAATATTATTGATATTCAAGATATAAATATATTAAATGCTAATGAAATTAATAAAGCTATTAAAGTAATAGAAGTTTAGGCTATTTCACAAGAAACAATTTAAAATAAAAATTAGAGAATCAGTAAAGAAAAATCAATAAATAAAGTTATAGTTTTAACTAAAAATTGAGCTAATAGAACTATAATATTAAATAAAATACAATTAAATCAAAAAATTAATTACTTTAGAAAAAATTTTCTCACTATGCAAAATGAATTATATAATTTAGAGTATAGATTAATAATTTAGAGATATAATACTATATGAAATTATTATTTAAAACTAAAAAGATATACACACATGATTGATATGAAAAATAGAGAGTTGAGATATAAATTTCTAGAGGATTATCAGAAAAATTAACTAAAAAGATCCTAAATTTGAATAATAAAATACTGTTAAAAGTATTAGTAAAATATGAAACAATATAAATAACTTTAATTAAGAAAAATTTAAATAGAAAAACAAATATTTCTCCAAAGCAAAATAATTATAGTGTTACTGTTTTGAGCTTTTGCATATGAAAGTATTTCAAAATGACAATAGTGACTGTGTTCATGGCAATTTACTTTGAATATTATAACTAAATGGTGTTTATGACAATAATTGATGTTTCTTAACAAGATAAAAGATGATGAAAATAAGACTAAACTAATAACAAAACTAAACTAAAGGTAAATTTAACCAAAAAGTACTTAAAATTCCAAAAACAAATTAATTTAACATGTCAAACTCAACATTAAACCAAAAGAAACTCAAAACCAAAACTTAAGAACTTAAATCGAACTAAGAGAACTTAAATCAAACTGAGAGAACTTGATTTTTATTAATTATCAGCACTTGTATTTATACATATTTTCGTGTTATAGTGGCACAGTGTGGCACAGTAATACACAGTATAGCACAGAATATGGCACAGTAGATCTATGCTAATATTATAAAATTACTGGTTCTCTTCTAAATTATATGAAATTTAACTACATTATAATTAATAATCTTGTTTTACATTTAAGTACCAATAGCAAAAATAGAAAATAGAAGCTAAATTAATATAGAAAATGATAAAATTTGCCAAGAAAATAGTGTGATTAATATATTCAAATAAAGATAACAATAAAATAAATATAGAAAGATAAATAATACAAAAAAGAAAGAAGAAAATAGAAAGAAATAGAAAGAAATAGAATATTATCAAATTAAATATGTAATACAAATATCATTATGACTAATTTTTATCATAACTGCATTTTTTGTTCACATGTTCTTATATTGAATTATTATTAATATTGAATTAATAACAATATGAAGACTTGAATTTTTTGATATAAGCACAAGTGAGATGTTTGCTCAATTAAGTATATGATTTTTTTCATATATTTGTTATTTTGAAAAGTGTATCTGTTTTTTTAACAGTTTCTTAAACAGGGATTTGGAATATAGTATTTTCATTTGATGAAGAGAGATCTAAAAAGTTTGTAATGCAATTTAAAGCTGAAGTTAGAGAATTAGTAGAATTAATTTTTTTGTTAATTTTGGATATTTTGAATTTTAATTAGAAAAAAATAAAAAAGTAAAAGAAAGTTAAATATATTAAGATAATTGAAAAATTTTATGAAATATAAGTTTATATTTGTTTTTTGAATTTTTCAAGTTTTTAATAAAAATATATATAAAAAGAAAAAGAAAAATTAAAGAATTATATAATGAGAAAGTATAGATTATTTGTTAATTACTGATGTTATAAGAATGAGAGTGATTTTTTTTTGGATGATTTGTTGAAAGTTTTCACTCTTAAAAAAATGTGGCTCTGCCCAATCAAGAAATTAATAAGGAAGAGATGTGAAAAGAAGTTTATTATTATTATTATTATTGTTATTATTATAATATTTATTATTCTATTAATTTTGATTTTAATTATTAACTTTTTTATTTTAATTATCAAAATTGCTAATTATTATAAGAATTAAATTAATATTAATTAACTATTAAATATTAAAATATTTAACAAACTAGTTATATAGTCAAATTTTTCTATAATAATATTTGTTTATAATTATTTTATTTATATATAAATATAATAAAAAATCTCTCTATA